GCTACCAGTCAACCACCAAGCATGATGATAGGCATAGTATTGATATTTAGAATTCGAAAATATTCTGAAATTGGTGTATAATTATCAACATGCATCCTTTCAACCATTAGGTAATCTAATAGTAAAATCTTTAAACACATGTTTCATTGTTTTTCTTCTTTAAGCTAAGCATTTCTATTATGTAAAATATTAACTCATAAGTCCAGTATCTACTATTCAGAAACTAAAACCTCTGTTCTATGAAAATAAATTCTTGTCTATTAGTTGTGTGAAAGAAATAACAAAATATAATGTGATTCAAACAGTTTGTGCAACACTTCTTACACAAATAAGCAGTAAACATGAACTTTTGCCTTTCTGGGTTGCCCACAGGTTTTCCATAAGGCCTCCTGGGCTTCTTAAGCTCCTGGGTAGGTGGCTTTCTGGGTTCTGTCGTTTCGTCACCAACTTTTCGTGGTCACCCTTGCCGCTTTTCTGGAGAGACTCGTCAAATATATAAAAACGGAGCCATCGTTGTTGAAAATGCTGTAAGGAATGTGCTAACCGCACATTGACATAGCTGAAGAAACACAGTAATAAGATGAACACTCATGCGCATGACAAACAATGCAATTGAGAATAAACTGATAACTGCAAGCATTTTCAGCACTTGAGATTCCATAATTCCTTAAGCCTCTATTTGTTGTCTTTGTCCCAAAAGTTGAAGGCTCCATCAGATCCAGATGTTGCAAATGTGTGATGTATCTGAGAGAAAGCATAGAATATAATATCCAGGCCATGAATAAAGAAAACATGAATTCTATCGAACTTTTTAGCACAATAACATAAAATTCTTTTAGCATTGAGCTCATAATTTAGGAAGTAGTCAATGAGAATAATTAGGAAGCAACAACCTCTTAACAAAAAAGATAAAGGCTAAACTGACTAAATAAATTTTTAGAAGTTGGAGATAATAGAAATTTGTTAACCGCATATAGATAAGCATACTATTAGCCTTGAATATAAGACTTGTATCTTCGACAATTTAGTAAAGTTATAGTCCATAACTACTTAAGATACCATATTGGAAAACAAACAGATAAAATCAAGGGAAAAATCCTATTTTCAAACCCACAATTCTTGATGTCATGACAATTAGCAAGCTCAATTGATTCATATAAGAAGAAAAATAGAATGATTCTCCATGTAACAAGAGGCGGTTTAGAAATTCCACCTAATTATTTTCTTCTCATTTGTTGATCTCATGAAAAGCTGAAAATGCACAGCAAAATTCTGCTTTTGTTTCTAGTACAAAACTTAACAAGGAGCTATCTATGAGCAGTGAGGTAAACATGCTAGCAAAAGAAAGTTCCAAGTGTCGGGCTTAAACCAGCAACCATTAATCTACAACCATCCTGAAATACATAGTTTGATCAGATTTTTTCAGAACCAATTGACAGTCTCATTTGAAGAAGAAACAAATGCGTGAAGAAGATTTTATCATGTGCAAGAAGATTTGAGGAATAGTAAGAATACACACTATACAGTATGAGAAAACAGAGATTTATTTTTAAATATTTTCATATGATGTAGGGTTTAAGGAACTACTTCAAAAGGAATGCAAAAGATAAAAATTATTGGTTAGCTTTAGGCATGAATTTTTCACAATAAATATGGATTTGATCTAGCTATGGTCAAGTTGATCAAAATAAAAAATCGTTTTGCTAATAACAAAAGAGGATTGAATGGCACCATTAAAAAAAAAAAATGTCTCCGTCGTGCTGAGACACCGTGTCCATGTCTCCGAACAGACGGAGAATTTTTATTTTTATTTTTAGTTAAGATGCTTGGAACCAATTTCCAATTCCAAGATATAAAATCAAACTTCTCAAAATAAAAAGACAAAATATACAATGAAGCAGTGAAAATTGCCTTTTTTTTCGTGGTAACTGAACAATAACATCTCATTGGGTTACTGTTGCATCTACAATAACCCCAAAATAGGCTTTTTTTATTATAGTAGGATATAAGGATGAATAAAATCATATAAAACAGAGATTTATTTTTAAATATTTTCATATGACGGAGTATCTTTATTTTGGTGTCAATAGCTTAAGCGGTTCTATTCCACCAAGAATTTTCAACATCTCAACATTACTAATGATTCAGTCAGAAAATCAGCTTTCGGGCAATCTTGATAGGTTGATTTTGGGTTATGAGCTTCCTAATCTTGAAGAACTCTATTTGAACCAAAATAATTTCTATGGAAGAATACCAAATTCTATTGTGAATTCTTCTAAATTCACTATAATAAACCTTTCTTTCAACAATTTTACTGGACCAATTCCCAACTTCTTTGGAGATTTAAGATTCCTTGAATTGCATACTTGGGTGGAAACAATTTTATTAGTGAATCTCCAGAATTGAGCTTCATCACTTCATTCACGAACCGTGGATTTTTAATAAAGTTGGGTTTTGATGATAATCCCTTTAATGGCATTCTTCCAGTTTCAGTTGGAAATCTTTCCACTTCTCTTCAATATATTTATGGTTATAACTGTCATCTTAGAGGTAGCATTCCAAATGAAATTGGAAATCTCAGCAGTTTGATAGTGTTAAGTTTGTATGGCCATCAGTTGACAGGATCAATACCAGCAAGCATGGTGGATTTGAAAAAGCTTCAAGGATTAGCTCTTTCCCGCAACAAAATAAGTGGATATATACCGGATACTCTTTGTGAACTTCACAATTTAAATGGATTGTTGTTGTCTCATAATCTAATAACAGCTGCCATTCCAGACTGCATGGAGAATATTACTACATTATGGTCTCTATATATAGATTCCAACAGATTGACCTCCATCATACCTCCGATCCTGTGGCTCTGGAAAGATCTTCTGGAGTTGAATCTATCTTCAAATTTTTTGAGTGGCAATCTCCCTCAAGAAATAGGATTTTGAGTCCAAGTATCGTTTCCACAAGGATTTATTAGTTCTAATTCTAATTATCTTAACCGTAACCGAAACAAATAAAGGAAAATGTTTGTGTTGATGAAATTATAAGTGAATTAATGATAAATATGCAAGTATGAATGAATTACTTAACTAAATGCAAAATGGATACGAATATGATTTGAGGTATTTTCTAAGATGTAATGAATGTGCTAGGATCACGAATTCCTAAGTAATAACCTTTTTAACCCTAGTTTTACACCTTGACACACGATTGCAATATTGACAAATCAATGTTCCTAAATTATTCAACAATCTCTCTCGAGCAATGCTAAACCTATTCTCATATATGACCCAACTATATTTCTATGATGGATGCGAACATACGAGAATGCATGAATTTTTATGAACACTTAAAGATTTACATAAGGCATAGCGGTATATTTCTATCCCCTGTCGGACCCTATGA